ACTAGGAAGAAGTTGAAACCCTGAATAGACTAATAACAAGGGCTGAAGTTAAGGCAGCAATTAATAGCCTACCAACCAAAAAAGTCCAGGTCCAGACAGGTTCATAGCTGAATTCTACCAGACGTACAAAGAGGAACTGGTACCATTCCTTCTGAGACTATTCCAAACTATACAAAAAGAGGGAATCCTTCCCAAATCATTTTATGAGACCAAGATCATCCTGATACCAAAACCCAGCAGAGACTCAACAAAAAAAGAAAACTTCAGGCCACTATCCAGGATGAACATAGATGCAAAAATCTTCAATAAAATACTGGCTAACTGACTGCAACAGCACATCAAAAACTTACCCATCACTATTAAGTAGGCTTCATTACTGGGGTGCAAGGCTGGTTTAACATATGCAAATCTACAAACACAATCCACCACATAAACAGAACCAAAGACAAAAACCACATGATTATCTCAATAGATGCAGAGAAGGCCTTTGGCAAAATTCAACAGCCCTTTATGCTAAAAACTCTCAATAAACTAGGTATCAAAGGAACATATCTCAAGACAATAAAAGCTATTTACGACAAACCCACAGCCAATATCATACTGAATGAGCAAAAACTGGAAGTATTCCCTTTGAAATCTGGCACTAGACAAAGATGCCCTCTCTCACCACTCCTATTCAATATAGTATTGGAAGTTCTAGCCAGAGCAATCAGGCAAGAAAAAAAATTAAGGGTATTCAATTAGCAAAAGAGGAAGTCAAACTGTCTCTATTTGCAGATGACATGATTGAATATTTGGAAGACCCTATCATCTCAGCCCAAAATCTCCTTAAACTGATAAGCAACTTCAGCAAAGTCTCAGGACACAAAATCAATGTGCAGAAATCACAAGCGTTTCTATACACCAATAACAGACTAACAGAGAGCCAAATCATGAGCAAACTCCCATTCACAGTTGCTACAAAAAGAATAAAATACCTAGGAATACAAGTAACAAAGGTTGTAAAGGACCTCTTCAAGGAGAACTATAAACCAATGCTCAAGGAAATAATAGAGGACATAAACAGATGGAGAAACATACCATACTCATGGTTAGGAAGAATCAGTATCTTGAAAATGGCCATACTGCCCAAAGTAATTTATAGATTCAACACAATCCCAATCAAACTACCAATGACTTTCTTCACAGAAATGGAAAAAAACACCTTAAACTTCATATGGAACCAAAAGAGTGCCAGCATAGTCAAGACAATCCTAAGCAAAAAGAACAAAGACAGAGGCATCACACTACCTGATTTCAAACTATACTACAAGCCTGCAGTAATCAACATAGCAGGGTACTGGTACCAAAATAGAGATATAGATTAATGGAACAGAGCAGAGGCTCTGGAGGTAGTGCCACACATGTACAACTATCTGATCTTTGATAAACCTGACAAAAACAATCAATGGGGAAAGGATTCCCTGTTTAATCAATGGTGTTGGGAAACTGGCTATCAGTGTGCAGAAAGCAGAAATTGGACCCCTTCCTGACACCTTACACTAAAATTAACTCCAGATGGATTAAAGACTTAAATGTAAGACCTAACACCATAAAAAACTCTAGAAGAAAACCTAGGCAAAACCATTCAGGACTTAGGCATAGGCAAGGACTTCATGATTAACACACCAAAAGCATTGGCAACAAAAGCTAAAATAGACAAATCAGACCTAATTAAACTCCAGAGCTTCTGTACAGCTAAAGAATCAGTGATTTGAGTGATTCAGCAACCAACAGAATGGGAAAAAATTTTTTGCAATCTACCCATCTGACAAAGGGCTAATATTCAGAATCTACAAAGAACTAAAACAGGTTTACAAGAAAAAAAAAACAAACAAACCCATCCAAAAGTGGGTGAAGGATATGAACAAACACTTTCAAAAGAAGACATATATGAGGCCAACAAACGTAAGAAAAAATTCTTATCATCATGGGTCATTAGAGAAATGCAAATGAAAACTACATTGAGATACCATCTCACGCCAGTTCGAATGGTGATCATTAAAAAATCCAGAGACAACAGATGCTAGAGAGGATGTGGAGAAATAGGAACATTTTTACACTGTTGGTGGGAGTGTCAACTAGTTAAAAAACTAGTTCAACCATTGTGGAAGACAGTGTGGCGCTTTCTCAAAGACCTAGAAACAGAAATTCCATTTGACCCAGCAATCCCATTACTGGGTATATACCCAAAGGATTATAAATTATTCTATTATAAAGACACATGCACGTGTATGTGCATAGCAGCACTGTTTACAATCGCAAAGACCTAAAACCAACCCAAATGCTCATCGATGATAGACTGAACAAGGAAAATGTGGCACATATACATCATGGAATACTATGCAGCCATAAAAAATGATGAGTTTGTGTCCTTTGTAGGGACATGGATGAATCTGGAAACTAATTCTCAGCAAACTGACATAAGAACAGAAAATCAAACACCAAATGTTCTCACTTATAAGCGAGTGATGAACAATGAGAACACATGGACACAGGGAGGAGAGTATCACAGATGGGGGTCTGTTTAGGGGAGCCAAGAGAGGGACAGCAGTCGGGTGGGGAGGTCGGGGAGGGATAACATGAGGAGAAATGCCAGATGTAGGTGATGAGGGAATGGGGGCAGCGAACAACATTGCCAGGTGCGTACCTATGCAACAATCCTGCATGTACGCCCATGTAACCCAGATTCTAAAGTACAATAAAGAAAAAAAAGAAGACAAACGACAAGCAAGTTTATGAAAAGGTACTCAACATCACTGATCATCAGAGAAATGCAATTCAAAACCACAATGAGGTCTCATCATACTTCAGTTAAAATGGCTTTTATTAAAAAGACAGGCAATAACAAATGTCAGTGAGTATACAGAGAAAAGGGAACTCATACACTGTTGGTGAGAACATACATATAGTACAACCATTATGGAGAATGCTTTGGAGATTCTTCAAAACACTAAAAATAGAGCTACCATATGATCCCCAATCCCACTGCTAGGTATGTACCCCAATAAAAGGAAATTGGTATGTCAAGGAGATATCTGCACTCCCACGTTTGTTGCAGCACTGTAAACAACAGCCAAGATTGGGAAGCAACCTAAGTGTCCTCCACTTAGGTATATATACACAGTGGATTACTATTCAGCCATAGTAATATGGTTATATTACAAATGGTATATATACACAATGGATTATTATTCAGCCATAAAAAAAGAATGAGATCCTCTCATTTGCAGCAACATGGCTGGAATTGAAGGACATCATGTAAAGTAAAATAAGTCAGGAACAGAAAGACAAACTTTGCATGTTCTCACTTATTTCTGGGAGTTAAAAATTAAAACAATTGACCTCTTGGAGATAGAGAGTAGAACAGTTACCCGAGGCTGAGAGGGTAGTGGGATGGGGGGAAGTGGGGATGGTTAATGAGTACAAAAATATAGTTAGAATGAATAAGAACTAGTATTTGATAGCACAATAGGGAGACTACAGTCAACAGTAATTTATTGCATATTTTAAAATAACTAAAAGCGTGTAATTGGATTGTTTGTAACACAAAGAAAGGATAAATGTTTGAGGATAAATGTTTGATGGATTCGCTATTTACTCTGATTGATTATTACACATTGTATGCTTTTATCAAAATATCTCATGTATTCCATAAATATATACGCCTACTATGTATCCAAAATTAAAAAAAATAATAATAAACTGGCCGAATAGGCCTGGCGTGGTGGCTCATGCCTGTAATCCCAGCACTTTGGGAGGCCGAGGCGGGCAGATCACAAGGTCAGGAAATCGAGACCATTCTGGCCAACACGGTGAAACCCCGTCTCTGCTAAAAATACAAAAAATTAGCTGGACGTGGTGGTGTGTGCCTGTAATTCCAGCTACTCGGGAGGCTGAGGCAGGAGAATCGCTTGAACCAGGGAGTTGCAGGTTGCAGTGAGCTGAGATTGCATCACTGCATTCCAGCCTGTTGACAGAGTGAGACTCCATCTCAAAATAAACAGACAAACAAACTGGTATTTGACCAAACAATTAGATACCATAGCCTAGCCAAGTTTACACACAATTAGTCTGCAGACTTGGATTAAGACATTTTGCTCTAGAGATACTACATTTGCTTCTGACAGTCTCTTGGGGACATTACACTAATCAGAGACCTACTCAAACCCAACTCAATTCTTAAGATTGTCTAGACTATGCATGATATTAAACTTCAGGTTGCAATTCCATGACATGCCTTGTGTAATTCTTGTTGACCCTCACTCAGAGCTTGTAGTTCTTTAAAATTCCAGCTAACTGGGCATATAGTTGTCTCTTAAACCTCTTACTTCTGCTAATCCTGGGCTTTGATTTTTTTTCCCACTTGCCTTCCTAAATTATCAAACTCAATTTAGAGGAAACACAAATGCAGGTCAAAAGTAGCTTTGGTGTTTCTTAAATTCTCTTCAATGTTTTAAAATAATATATTATTGAGATTTTTTTTGTAAAGTTTTTGAGGGAGAAATTATTAAAATAATCTAGGGGACATTGCTTCTAGAAGCTAAACCTAAAATTTTCCACTTTTCCGATGCAGCATGGAAGTTCAAACAAAACTTCCTCCTTATCAAAATATAATTAAAATATTAAAAACTGATGGAAGATTCTCCTTAAATACAGAATAACAACATCTGCACAGTGAAATTAAAAAAGGAAAAGAGTAGTTTGTGGTCAAGTAAATTTGGGAAATGTTGCAACAAACTTTTTTTTTTTTCAGATTTCTCTTAACTTTGTATAATATTTCTGCCTATGTAGAGGAGAAGTGCGTACTTTGCTGCGCTTTTTGAACTTATTTTACCATGAAATTCCTTTTTTACATGAAGCATCTCCAAGGACATGGAGCATCTGCAAGGTGTTACATACCATATACTTAAAGTTGCTTGAAAATAATAGTAATAGCTGTATTTTTCTCTTGTCCTAAGGTGGAGGTGCCTGCTCTTACCAGCTGAGTTCTGCTCTATCCGCAATGGTGGCTAGAGTGCCATATTCAAGAAGGTAAGAAGCACAGAAGAGCTAGCAGGAGGGCTGCTCTGCACGTGCATAGGAGGAACAGGAGCAGGTTCACACCTAGGTGAAGAACTTCCCCAGGTCCTTGTGCTTCTCTGTCCTACTAGACATCTGGGGCCTTGTGATTCTTGTCAAAATCTGTGAGAGTTTGCTCACACAGGCCCTGCACACTCTCCTCTGTGAGGAGGGTCTCACACCTACACCGAGGGTCAGGTAAAAAGACTGTCTAGGAGCCCCACTTCCAGTGAGCCCAGCTAGATAGCTCACTTTCACAGAACCAAACTTTTCACTGTTGGGTAGTTAAGTGAGTTTCTTCAAAGAGCCTCTACATTGCTATTTCGGAAACTGCTTAATTTTAAGTAATTCAGTTCCTAAATTTCATTTAATAGAGAACATATTTCATGCTCGAATCTAAATTGCATATCAATAAGTCATAGTCTGTTTCCTGCCCACCCCAGGATTTCATTATCTATAAGTTTTATCACTGGGACCATTTCCAAACACGAACCAAAGAGTTTTTATTATTAGTAGGGCTGAGCATCATTTTGTGTTTGCTGGTTTTCTTTTTAGTCATTGTGATTCTAAAGGCCATTTTAATCAATTTCTAAAACCCACTTAACCTGGTTCTAATTGATTAACGCATTTCCTCTCCATGTTTTAAGCATTTTCTTTACTCTTGCTTTTCAGAAAAATAAATGTGTGTGCATGTATGTGTCTATATACCTTTTAATCATTAATGTTACTTGGAAAATGTTAAATTAACTAAAGTGAATGTGTAAAATTAATTGGGTGAAAATGTAACTTGATTGCAATATTGAGATTTTCTTCTTTTTTTTTTTGAGACAGAGTCTCACTCTGTCACCCAGGCTGGAGTACAGGGCACAATCTTGGCTCACTGCAACCTGTGCCTCCCAGGATCAAGCAATTCTCCTGCCTCAGCCTCCTAAGTAGCTGGGATTATAGGTGCATGCCAACACATCTGGATAATTTTTGTATTTTTAGTAGAGACAGGGTTTCACCAGGAGTTCAGGCTGGTCTCGAACTCCTTACCTTGTGATCGGCCCGCCTCAGCATCCCAAAGTGCTGGAATTACAGGCATGAGACACCGCACCCGGCCAATTATTGAGATTTTCTCTAGGGATGAACAGGTCCCTCTGTTCAAGTCTTTAATTCCCCTTTTTACACTTTCGTGGTCCCATGCAACTGCTACACATGGCTTAATTATACTCAGTCTTTTGAACTTCCTGGAGTGATGCTACATTTAGTTGCCAATATTATTTCTGCTTTCTGTTCTCATGGTTTCTCAGTCAGGCAATCAAATCATCTGAAAATGCCACTTGGCCTTTGTTTCTGTATTTTACAATTTTGTCTAAAGGTATTGCTTATTTTTCTCTATCAGTCATAAATATTAGTGGGAACAGTGGCTTCCTTGTCTTTTATCTAATGGCAGTGAGAAAAGAGTATGCCAGTGCAAGCTGAGGTTCTCCTTTCTCTGAGATCTATCTGATAAATAATGTTACAGAGTTACACAAATGCTACCCGTTTTTATAAGTCTTGAATCAATATAAAATGCTGAATTTTAGAAAATATCTTTTTTTGCATCTTTTCAGATGAGCATGTATTTTTTCCTCTGACATTCTAAATATTACCTCTTTATATTCTTGTAAAATACCACACTCAAGTCATGACCTAGCAAACCATCTCAGTTTTAGGCTCCTTCTTTAGGAGACTTGATCAACAGAACCCAGTAGCATTTTAAGAATAACTTAGTTCCTAAATTAAAATTGTGGAATTTAGAAATGATAGGGTCAACTTCCCAGTGGTATTTCTTCACTGAGTATGAGGTTTTGATAGGTAATGATATATGGCCTTATCAGTGCAAGAAAGTGTTCTTCTATTTGTATGTTGCTGTATTCTTTTAAAAATAATGATTGAATGTTGGATTATGTCAAATACTTTTCTGTATTTATTAAGATGAGCATTATTATTGTCTTTTTTCTATTAATATGATGTTTTACAATAATTTATTCTTGGATGTTAAATAATCACTGCATTTGTAAAATAATTCCACAAGGTTGCCGTGTATAATTCATTTTATATGTTACTTTATTCAGTTTTCTAGTGTTTTTAGAGAACGTCTCTGTCTGCACCCATCAGGAGATAATTGGTGGTTGTCTTAATTTCTTCTTTTTTTTTTTTTAGATATTTTTATTTCTCCAAATTTGATATTTATCAGGAGTGACTGAAATAAAAAATATATTTGAGTCCCATCATCATCATGGAAATGGCTTTAAGAGAAAACTGGTCAGATGAATATTATTGCTTCCCATTTTCAACCAGTAAATAGTTGCCACAGATAAATTGACAGCCAGGAGTCTGTCAAGAATGCTCAAGATATGTTATATAATACAACATGCCTGTTCACGGGGGGAACATTCCCAGGAAATAACTTATGTGTACTTCTTGATTTCATCATACAAGACAAGTACAAAAGCACCACCCATGCCTTGGAGAACATTGGACCATGCACCCTTGAAGAGAGCTTTGCCTCCTTCATCACGAGCAATCTTCCTCCAGCAGTCAAGTGTGCCTGTGTACATGATGTCAGTTCCTTTGTGCCCCGACTGCATCATCATGCTGCGGCGAACAGTGTCAAATGGATAGGAAGTCAACCCAGCAACAGCAGTGACAGTTTGTGCGATCATCCAGCTGATAACGATGTGAGTGTTCTTGGGATCTGGAAGCATTCCCTTTGCAGTGTCATAGATACCGAAGTAGGCAGCTCGGTAGATGATAATACCCTGCACAGACACATTAAAGCCTTGGTACAGGCCCTTAATCCCATCAGATTTGTAGATCTTAACCAGGCAGTCGCGGAGGCCTTGGAATTCCCTTTCAGCTCCAGCTTTACCCACATCTGCTGCTAGACGGGTACGGGCAAAATCAAGAGGGTACACAAAACACAACGATGTGGCCCCAGCAGCACCGCCTGATGCCAGATTCCCTGCAAAGTAGCGCCAAAACTGGGTCCTCTTGTCCACACCACCCAGGAAGATCTGCTTGTATTTATCTTTGAAGGCGAAGTTAAGGGCCTGGGTGGGGAAGTATCTGATGACATTAGCCAGGTTACCGCGCCAGAAGGACAGGACTCCCTGCTCCTTGGGAATACGGACCACGCAGTCTATAATACCCTTGTATTGCTTATCTGCAGTGATCTGCTTGCTGGCATGCTGTACCTGCAGCAGCAGCTTGACCCGCTCGATGGGCGCTACCGCCATCTTGGAGATGGCTGCGGCCACTCCACCTGCCAGGAAGTCCTTGGCGAAGGACACAGCGGCATCTGTCATGTTGAAAGGAAAGAGGAGGCAGGCTTGCTGCAGGACGGGACCAGGCCAGGAACCGGCTTTGACTCCGGGGCTGCGGGGTGTCTTAATTTCTTAAGACACTTTTGTCTGGATATCTTATCATGCTAATACTGGCCTCATGGAATAAACTGGGAAATATTCTCTCTTAATAGTGAAAAACTGAATCGTTAGTGAAGGATTGGTATTAATTATTCATTAAATACTTGCTCAAATTCACAAGTTTTTAAAAATTAATAAGCACTAATTTTGGAGGACATGACTGTAAAAGTTTGTGATAATTTATTTTCCTAATTTTGTATGCATCTAATTTTGTCAACTTTTAGCTGTTAAATACCTTTTGCTCTTTTTATATGATCATCAATTGTTATCTTTTTATAAATTAAAAAAATACTACTTATTAAAAGATTAAAAGGCTATTAATAACACTATTTGTGCATCATTGATGCTAAACTGATTTTTTTCTCTTTTCAGACTAATCTTTAAAGACCCTAAGAAGTCTTGATTAGATCGGATTTTAAGGAAAATGTTGGCTCACAACATCTCTTAGTGGTCTTCTATGAAGTCCCTACAGATTCTATCAGGACTCCTATTTTGATATTCACTACTCTCCAAGGTAGTAGTAACACACAAATATGAACTCTGGGTGGGAAAAGTCTGAGGTAGCTTAGTTTAGATAAGGTAAATGTGGGGAGACAAAAATTCAATGAGAGTTTTTGCAAGTTGAATTCTAAGTAAACTTTGTGAATCATTTGAATTGAAATGTGGCCTTACTTCACTCTGTAGTTACCAGAATTAGCCCTAAAACAGCTCGTTAGCACTACTTGACACTTTGTTAAATATTCAGTATAAATTCCTACTTTAATAGACAGGGTTTTCATTCTAATTAGTTTCCACTAGTGTAGCATTCTTTCCAGAAGGAATGTCATTGTGGTTGGGATTATGGATTGATTTATCAAGTAATGAAGGTTACTAACAAAAGACCATCCCAGTTTACATAATCTCTCTCCATACTTCCAATTCAGAACATCAAATAAGTTTACCTTCTCCATCTTATTTGCAATTATTTTCTCAAATTGCATTTTGTCCAAAAAAAAAAAAAAAAAAACCACTATGTTATTCATACTTCTCTTACCTAACCCTGGATTATATTTCAGAATGATGATAATCAGCAGGCTTTAGAAAACAGTATATTTATAGCAACATGGTACCCAACTCAATTAGGTAATATCAAAGATGAATTGAAATATCTATGTTCTTTCTCTTGATCCAGACAATTTTCTTCATGATCTGATTTACAGATGGAATTACAGAAAGAATTACATGGCTTGATGACTTTTTAAAATGATTATTGAGCTCTTCAGATATTTATTGGTTTCTCTGGATCAATTATCCACATTTATAAAGTGCTATATCTAATTAACCAATCTATTTCACTTACACTTTTTAAATTGCCCCATTGTTGGTCAAATTATGTTTGATAGCACCAGACTCCATTAAACAAAATAATTTTATTTCTAAGTAGGTTTCCTTAAAGCTGTTTCTCTGATTATATATGACAACTTCAACAGACTAAAGCCACTGTACAGACTGGAGCTGCCATAGTCATTTTCTATATTATGGAATCAGTCTCTATTCTTTATAAATATGGATCATAGCAAAAGTTAAGACTTGCTTTGCTACACCATGGTAAACTCAAGTGAGTAGCAAAACAATAATATTGAGAGTTGAATACATGATGAAAACCTTGAAAATCCAGATTATTTAATAATAGAATCTTAGAATTAAATGAGATAATTTATGTTAGAATTAAATTAGATAATCACATTAGTGAATCATGCCGCAGCCTTGACCTCCTGGGCTCGAGCAATCCTTCCACCTCAGTTTCTGGAGTAGCTGGTATTACAGCTGGCCAGTTTTTCTATTTTTTATAGAGACAGGGTCTCAGTGTGTTGCCTGGGTTGTTCTCAAACCCCTGGCTTCAAGCTATTCTTCCACCTTGACCTCCCAAAATGCTGGGATTACAGGTGGGAGCCACCACACCTGGACCCATTTTTCATTTAAACAAGTTTGGTAATATAAAAAATCACTTGCTTATAGGGAATCCCATAATATTTCAAAGCATCAGAGAGGTATCACATCCTCACAGGTGAGCTGGAGACTTCAGAGCCTGACTTCGTAGGTTCAAATTCCATCTCTACTCTTTCCTGACGGGAAAGAA